TTGTGCTCGCTGGGTTATTGCCTACTGGCGTTTCAGCAATGTGTCAACCGACTTCGACTTGTTTTCTTTGTTATGTTCCTTTTGGCAATTTTGTTACGCCTCTGGTAAGTGAATATTTATTGTGTAAATTAGTATACCTACATTCCAACACCGTTATCATTATCACCTATATTATGATTATAGATTCTGGCACCTGGATTGAGCATAGGCAATTAATTATTTCATATATGCAATTACACTCAATATACAAACATATGCATATACTATCAGAATAAGGCAGAACTGCATAATCACAGGTAGGTACTTACTCGTTCAAAATGTAAGAAATAGTCGTGATAGAAGCTACTTGATGATTGGTTTCTTCAGTTAAAACGCATTCATTCATCATTTTCATCTACACAACTCTATGAACATTGAGTAAGAAAAGTATTGCTCTCCCTCTCTGTAGTAGGTATGATCGTTGATTGATATATTAAGCGTAAGCGTAATATATCAATCAACGGTATGATACACTTCCCAAAAATGTTAACGCACCACCAAAAAGTATCCAAAAGTTTGAGATACATTGTCGTCGAAACTAATTGTTCGATTTGGACGATTTTTGTTTTGAATGATAAGTTATCTTCTTCTGAATATTGGCGTGCAAACTTTATTCTCATAAGAACCTTATTTTTTTATGAATATACTGGGTGTAGCAATTACATATCGTTTTTTTTTCATGAAATTTGTAATATCCTGTGGAGTGTTAACAGTCACGACGTTATCAAGTTGAAATTGAAAGTACACTTTAGCCTCATATTTTTAAATTTTTTTTTTTTGGATTCACTCTATATTATCTCCCCTATTTCTCCAGAAATACAATTTTATAGCATAACATGATTTTATTGAATTGGCATTATAAGCACGAAGACATTTTTTTGACTAGTTGCATGGAACTGATTGTGATCATAAATGGAAGCCTTACAGCTGGTGAATTAAGAACCACTTATATAGTGTAGGAATTCTTGTTGATGCAAGCATAGATTAAACAAACCAATGCAAGATAATGCCAGGCCTCACGTCGACCGAGTAGTGAGAAATTGTCTAGAGGAAGTTGTATCGCTACCATGGTTTGGCCAGCTCGGAGCCCGGATTTTGAATCCCATTGAGAATTTCTGGGACATTCTTGGGACAAGATTACAAGAAGAACGTTACTCGAATACATTGGAAAACGCACGGCAGAGACTGATGATCCAAGTTGTCTTATTTTGGGTATAGACCGTCTTTGCTAAGAAGTTATTCGTGCCCGTGGCGGAAATACTCGCTACTTACCCTTTTTTCTTCGTTATTTTCTATATAATGATGTCACGCTATAAAATGGTGTTTCTCGAGTAACAGAAAAGGTAATGGAGTGGATGAAAAAAAGAAATGCTGAAAAAAAGAGGCTACTTTGATTTCAATTCTAATTTGATAGTGTAACTATATTACACACAGGGTATTACAAATTTCATGAAAAAAGCACGTAATTGCTACACCCGGTATGGATATGTTCAGAAGGAAATAACCTTTCTTTCAAAACAAAAAACGACCAAATCGGACAAGTAGTTTTGACGAAAATAGTTCCCAAACTTGTGGCTATTTTTTTGGTGGTGAGTTAATTTCTTGGAGAAGTGTAGTTATTCGAAACTTTTGTCGTCTCTTTGATGTGCTTATCTCTCGTGAAGATAACTTTATGACATTCTTTCACCAACATGGACTCTGCAATCTCTATATCTTCTATTGTGTTATCACTCGCGGACATTTCTTGTCGAAAGTTTCCAATCAAGTCTTCCTCCTTTGTCAATGTTATTATCAGTTGAGAGCATGGTAACTTCTTTTTTCTCTAGGTTTTCAATGAAATTTATCTTCGGTCAGGTAGTCTCATCTCTTATTGATACAAATTTTGGCCCTGAAAACCAATCATCAAAATTCGTCATGTTTGAACCATTTTGGTTGTATGTTCTTGTAGGGGTGTCTGCTCCATTCATTTTTGATGATACCCATCAGTGCCATCAGTCGTGCATGAGTTATTTAGCTCCAATATCTCTCGATTCAATCCTGTGAGCTTACTGACATTACTGTTGATCCAATAAAGTACAGTCGTTGAATCAGACTAGTGAAACTTCATCGATAGATACATTGAGTTCATCTTTGATAGTTTTTCCGAGACGACTTCCTAGTAGTGCTGCCTGCGAGGAATCGAGATTGGCTATGTAGGTGCCACACGACGTGCTTTTCTAGATACGAGAGGGACATCGATTGTGTGCTCGGTTATTACTCGTAGATAGCAACAGCAAAACTCTGCTTACTAGCATCACAGAATATATGTAGGGCACTTCTAATCGCTATGGGAATGTTTTTGGTGTAACATCTTGGAACGGTGATGAAATTTGCTTTGTTATCCACTGTTTTTTTTTTTCAAGTTCTGGTTCCCACGAAAAGGGATATAATAACCTGTAATATTCAGACAACATCGTGAGAACCAAGCGAAATAAGGTAGGAATTGACGTTCTTTTCAAATTTCTGGAGGTTATATGCCTCGGGGAACACCTCCCTTGGCAATGTGTTCCAGAGTCTCGTTGTTCGTTGGATGAACGAGTCTTCGAAAACAGATGTTCTGCATATCTCCAAAGTGACCACGAAGGGGTGCGAAGCCTCAACTCGACGGGTTGATCTCGCGGGAACTGCCAAGGGAGGAACAATTGTTGATATTTCAGAAGAGCATCGTCCAACGGTTGATCTCAGACTCATGTTATCATCTTATTCATATATCATTGAACTCGTCTTTTTGAGCTCATCTCTCCAAGGACGAAATGAAATTTACGGTATTCCATTTTAAAAATGGAATATTTGGTATGTCACGGCATATGGATCATCCTGTATAGTTGACATAATCTAAAAAATATAGTTCATATGACTATAAACTACTTCGATTCTCAATTGTTTTTGCATCTATCCTCGTTTACCAGATGAGGGGGTGGCCCATGTCAAGTGGAATACCATGTACTTGTTTCATTATCTTCCATACTTTACTGTGAGCCGCTTCGCGTTGACTTGCTGTGGACCTAGTACTCGTCATCGACCAATTCCACAATGTCTTCCTCACTTTCAGTTCTTATTTCGGGTGGTACAGGTATTCCCACATGTCCTCCTCTTCGTTCCTTCAAACAATCTTTGCCAGGACACCTTATTTGCACAAAATTAATGATCATTCGCGTTGTTGGGTGATATATTCCCTGCTGATACGAATTTATTCATCAGTTTTTTAGGTTAAAAGATTAATTCATAAAATATTACTACGAGGTAGTTTATGTCTTGGTTTCGTGAATATTGGTCATATTTCCATTTCTGCTGATATTTTATCCGACAATTAATGAACAAAAACAAAATAATAATTTATTATTGAATAACTGAAATTGTGCCAGAAACATTCTCAACAAGTGTCTGTAGTATTCTCCTGGTAGATTCATACTATGATCTCAGATTTTCATTAATTATTATACAGGGTGAGTTATTCTTACAATATCTCAACATTGGAAAAATATATTCCTGTATTTGTATTGGTTTCGGCTACATGTTGAAGCCTTTGAGTTCAATTCAAGTACCAAATTTGAACCCAATCAAGTATAATCCCTGTATTTAATATGGCAGATTGATTTTTTGTCAAAATCCACAAATGACTCTGTATGTCAGTAACGAAGCGGTTTTGGACATTTGTATATGGCATTTCGCAATCATATTGGTGGGCCCTATAACCCCATGAGTTTAATCGATTTTATGTCTGGACACCCTGTTTATATTTTTTAGAGAGAGAGAGAGAACATCTTTATTAGGGATATACCCCAAAAGGCCATTGACCGAAGTCTTTCAGCCCAGTTTACAATTATAATATATAAAGTATGAATATTAATAATAATAGTAATAATAGTTTAATGAGAAAAAAAAAAAAAGATAGTTGCTAATTGCTTTCTTGCTATCCTGTTTGCTGCATCTGGATCAGTCTTTGAAAAATGGTTATTTCTGGAAATTTTCTTTTTCTTGTGTAGTTTTCCGGCATCCCAATAACTTGTGGACTCATCACTGGGATATTGTAGGCGGACTTCGCGAATTTTGTGCTGAGTCTGTGTAGTCATTGGAGGATGGGTTCTACTTTAGCGGAATTGTATAGTAGGGTATTGGAAGGGTTATGTAAGGGATTATTAGGATGTCGGATTTTAGTTATAGCTCTTAAACAACTTCTTTCTGCAACTTCAATGTGCTTTAGGGTAGTTTTTCTGCATGTGCTGAACAAGATGTAGCTGTATTCAATAAGAGGTCGACATATGGCTTTGTATATTGATGTAGCTGTTGCTGTCTTTATACCCTGGGTCTTGTAAGTCAAGCCACGAAAATGTTTGGCTCTTCCGATTGCTTTCTTCTTGACGGCTATTAGATGTTTCTGGAACTTGAGCTTATTGTCTATTAATACTCCAAGATATCTAGTTTCTGCTACTGGTTTCACGGTCTCATTCAGGATATCGATGGTCGGAGAATTGTCCTTTATTTTATGGTGGAAAATCATAAGTTTACACTTCTTCGGATTAGGTAATAGTCTCCAGCCGCATATTTTTTAATTACATGAAATGTTCAATTGATATCTTCCTTATCATGCAATTTTTATTAAGGCGATATTTGATGGATGTTTTTTCCAATTAATTAACTCTAAAAAAAGTGCCTAGTCATCATTGAGAACACCCTGTTTATCGAATACATCGATGTATATATATGATGTCAAATATCGATATTTTATCTAATTTTCGATATCAGCCAGCTTTCGTAAAATCTACAAAATTAATGAAATTGGGGATGCCACAAGAATTTGATAAAATTTCATTGCAGATAAAGAGACAAGGGTAACACTTACCTGCCTGTTATTTTCATAGTTCCACTGGATACTACTATTGAAAAGGGAGAGTTGTATGTGATCATTAAAAAACCTCACACTGTTCATAGATTTATTAAAAATATACTTTGGCAATATGGCAGGAAATTAAAAATTAAGTATATGATGAAAAATGTTTGTACACCAGATAAAAACCAACAGACTAAGTACATATACTAACAAATCTAGAACACTTTCAGTATCGATAGTGATCAGGCTTAAATGGTCCTTCAACTGGCACACCTAGATATGATGATTGGTCGGGCGTGAGGGTTGTCAATCTGACACCCAAATGTTCCAAGTGGAGTCTGGCCACTTCTTCATCGAGCTGTTTGGGTAGCATATGCACACCGATAGGATAAGCGCCCGGCCTAGTCCAGAGCTCGATCTGAGCCAAAACTTGATTGGTGAAGGAATTCGACATCACAAAGGAAGGGTGGCCGGTGGCACACCCTAGGTTTACCAAACGCCCCTCCGCCAGGATAATGATGTGACTTCCGGTCGACAGAAGATACCTGTCGACTTGGGGTTTGATGTTGGTCTTTTGTTTGGCGTTTTTCTCCAGCCAAGCTACGTCTATTTCGCAATCGAAATGACCGATATTGCAGACGATAGAGTCGTTTCTCATATTCAAGAAGTGGCGACTGAGGATTATGTCTTTGCAGCCGGTTGTTGTGACGAAAATTTGACCTTCTTTAGACGCTTCATCCATGGTCGTTACTTCATAACCTACGAAAACATATTGATTCAAGTGTCGTCTTTACTACTAATTTTGAGATGTTATGATCATTAGAGAGTGAGAACACACTTCCTACTAATGACCTGATCTCAGAATAAATAATTGAAACGAGAAGTTTATATTGCTTAATCCCTCTGTATAAAATACATCGCATTTATAGGATCTCTGTGGATCCGCTGCTCGATTATTCCGATTATTCAGAATGACTCACATTTTAACATATTCTCTAATGTGAAAAAGTGATCCATTTGTCAACTAGCAAGATTACATTTGTGAATGCCTCTGTGGAAAATACATCGCATGTTGAGGATCTCTGTGGAACGGCCACTCGATTATTCCGATTATTCGGCATAAATTGCTTATGACAAAAAATGGAATGAGTTTTATAGCATGATAATGTACCCATAACAACGTAATACTTATAATCAAAACTGAATCATTCCAAGATGAACGTTTCATAATAGACAAGCAATAATCTTAGTAAAAAGTATCATTTGTCGTTTTCGTTACTAATGTTTTTTCCGACTTTTTTATGATTGGTTTCCATTGTTTCAGTAACTGATTTAGTATTATCTAGTCTTCGCTATTGAATTTTGTGTAAGAAAGTTTACTAAATAGCCCATAGTAAACACAAACATCAGTACATATTGAACGTCACGCAACTCTCAAAGCACTGAGCTCCAGTAAGATAATATGCTTGTAAGGGAAGTGTATCGAACCTCTATAGTGCCTGGGTGCTAACAAAAGGATTAATATGCTGTGGGTATAGTCGGACACCAGGGGAAAAAAACCGACATCCTTGCCAACCAGGAAATCAAATCCGTATTCATAGGACCAGAACCATACTATGGAGTCACCAAAAGTGCGGCCAAACTACTATTTCAAACTGGGCGGAGTGAAAGAGACTCATGTACTGAATTACCACGATTGGCTCATTTTATAAAACCAGGCAGTTCCTAGAATGGAGCAGGAATAACCTGCGAATTCTGACAAGACTGCTTAAGGGATACTGTGGTTTGAGATACCACCTAGGAATGATAGGTCTGATCCAAGAAATAGACTGTCGTTTCTGCTGTGTGGAGGACGGAACAGCTGAACACATTATGTTAATGTTCAACATAACAACTACCAAATAAAGTCGGAAATGAGCGACTCAAATTTCAAGACTTTGGTATATCTCATATTAACAGGGCACTTCCTTAAAATCGCATATTCTTTAATACATTCATGAAAAGGCAAGATAGAAGAATATTAGTTTCTCTGGAAGTCAGAAATTATTCAAGTTACTTGAATGAACAGTGAGTAGAATTATTAATGTGAGAAAATATAGTTGATAAAAAAAAGATAAAGAGGCGACACAGGTCAAAGATAGAAATTCATATTTCCATGAAGTGAAACACTATTAAACGTTCACCAAGAAAATTTTTCATTAATCTGAAATATATTGACATTATATTGCAGAATAGCATTTTGATTCAATCATCGATTGGGAAAATTTTAAGGAATCTTGCATTGCAAATGACACATAATGACATATCCTCCAATGTGAAAAAATGATCCATTGTGAAATAGCAATATATATCATTTAACAAATTCAACTATCAACCGAAAGAGATAACAAAATATTTCCAACTGTCCTTCACTAACCTTCCATTGCAGCCTGTAAAGCGTTGATGGGATCAATTTCTGTGATGATTACTCTTCCTCCGAATGCTCTCAATGATTGGGCACAGCCTTTTCCTACATCACCATAACCTGCTACAACACATACTTTGCCAGCAAGCATGACATCGGTAGCACGTTTTATTCCATCGATGAGAGATTCACGACAACCATAGAGGTTATCAAATTTACTCTGTAACATTAAAAACGAGCAATAATTAGAATCATGTTGTGACCAGAGAATAAGTCAGTGGGCCTTAACAAGTATCAATTTACAAATGCTTTAAATTTCAATATGAAAATAATCGAATAATGTGGGTATCAATCATTATTGAAACATATACCATTTTTAAAAAACGAAAACAACAACAATCAACACTTTGAATACCCACCTTAGTAACAGAATCGTTAACATTAATCGCAGGAACCTTGAGACTGCCCTCCTTGAACATCTTATACAGATTGTGCACCCCCGTGGTGGTCTCCTCGCTGATGCCGCGACACTTCTCCAGATACTGCGGGTACTTCTGGTGCACCAGGTTGGTGAGATCTCCGCCGTCGTCGAGGATGAGATTGAAGGGCTGGCCGTCGCGGAAGACGATCGTCTGCTCGATGCACCAGAGGTACTCTTCGTCCGTCTCGCCCTTCCACGCGTAGACCGGCACGCCCGTTTGGGCTATGGCGGCGGCGGCGTGGTCTTGGGTGCTGAATATGTTGCAGCTTGACCATTGGACCTTGACAGGTGATGCACGATTAGTGATGATATTTTTCTATTTTGTGTTTCTAGGGAATGAGGGGTAACATTTTCAGTCTCACCAGTTGACGTTACTAAAACGTGAGGTCAATGTCAAAGTAAAAAATCACAAAATTTTGCCGGATAGCCCTAAAGGTTTCTTTTATCGAAAATTCGGAAAAAATGATGTTGTCTATTTGAACAAATAGAAAACCTCAAGTCTGAACTCTCAATGTGGAACTTTATGACCAATTCTTACATTTACGGAGAAGATATCGTAGGAAGAAGCCAAATGACACAAAACTAAGAAGTATATTTATCAGTTTTACCAACTCTAACCTCACATTTCAGAAGCGCAAACTGGTGGACAATAAATAATGTTGGCCCTCATTCGTTATGAAACCTAAATATGAATAATTTAGCACACACAACTATTTTTTGTTCAGGTTGGTAACATCAAACTGTCAGGCAAAATTCAGACATGGAAATTTCTTTACCTACGTCCACTATAGAAAGTAGCCAAGAACACACGAGTTACAGCCTCAGTAAGTAGCTCTTTACGTACAGTAAGCACATCGCACAGTTTTCGTTTATTCCGCCAGTATAGTTATGTCATGATCGCGTAATCGCCGTCAACAGCGGATGATATACCGGTCAAGAAATATAATTCAGACTGTTTGTCCAAACTTTTTTGATGTACTATATGGCAGTAGGTAAAGTATAGTCCGTAATGCGTGTTGTAAAGCAATTACGCACTCATGGAATTTCGCACTCGCCGCTTCGCGGCTACGTGCGTAACTTTTCCATTCGTGCGTAATAAATATGCTTCTTACAACACATATTACGTAATATACTATTATAATGGTAGGTACAGATGACAGCTTACAACTTACAGCGGAAAGATGAATAATAAAGCGCGGACTGTTCACATTCACTGTTTCAGCGTTATACTGGACGAATATCAGCTCTTTTTCTTTAAAATGTTCTAAATGTTTGAACATTTTCCGCTTATTGTACTTGAAACGAACTTTCTGGTATTACGAGTATTGTGACCAAATGACTCTGAAATGAATCCAGAAACATGTGATATCGAAAATAACAAATAATAATCTGGCACAACGTCTGAAAGGAAGAGGACAAGAACATAAACGAGAAGAATATAGAATAACCACATAACCACGAACAGTTGTGCAAAATGCATAGGATTGAAATTGCAGAATGATGTAATGAACAAAGTTTTACTGTAATAATGACGTAAAGAGCAAATCAATCATTGTAGGTAGGCATTAGATGTAAAAGCAGCTTTGAATTCCCCCCTTTTCATATTCTTCATGAAATTTATCTCTAAACTTCCTCGTGTAATTTCCTGGTCATGGTTACATTCACCAAAAGAAGGAAGATCCATTTAAAGCTACCAAATTCTCCGAAGAGGTCAAATATCTAGGAGTAATCTTGGACAAGAAACTCACGTGGAATCAACACTTGATCAAAATCGTCAATAGGACAATTTCAGCTCTCTGGATATGCCGAAGGATGCTTGGTCGAACTTGGGGTCTCAAACCAATAATGATCTACTGGTCTCACCTCACGGTGGCCAGACTCATGGTCACATACGGTTCTCTAGTGTGGTAGACCAATAGTAAGGAAAAAAACAGCACAACTCAAACTGCAAAAAATCCAGACTCGCGTGTCTTGGGAACACATGGGCTATGCGTATGTGCCCTACTGCAGCAATGGAAGCTATGCTTGAACCACTACCCTCGCATATTTTTATCAAGAGGACTGCAGCTCTCAGTGCATAAGAATGAATTCCACTGAATTGGCTAGACCAGGTGATATCACTGATCACATGGTACTTCTACAAAGAAGTACAAAAGGAATCAGCAACCAAGCCATCGGACTTAATGCCAACCAGGTTCAGTTTCGATCCTGCCTTTGAAGTGGTCATAAAAAGTCACCCTAGGTACGGTTCCGCTGACCCTCAGCTGGACAGAGGGTCCCTTGTTTGGTATGTTCAACGATGGTTCGAAAATGGGAGAAGTGTTAGGCGCGGGTGTATATGGACCCGAATGTGGGCCATTCGAAGCCTTAGGTCACTCTCCGACTATCTTCCAAGCTGAAATACATGTCTTCAACCTATGCGCCCAAAGGTGCCTGAGCGAAGGTCTGAGGGGTAGCAACATATACAGGATGTCCCACTAGGTCGGCGAGGTACGATATTAGAGAAACCATAAACCTTACAGCTTGGGAAAAAATCTATCGACAAAATTGGCGATGAGAAATCGAATCAAAATATTTTCAAGTTTCTAAAATGACCGGTAGGGGGCGAAGTTACTATACAACGAGAAAATTCGAATTATCTCAGAAAATCGCTGAGTGAGGTACTTTTTTGATAACAGAAATAAATAGATCATCAATTGATCGTTGTTTTTGTCTGCAGACTTTTTTCGTATCTTCAATAATAATGGTGGGGGAAGCTTGTGAATACAATATTTTTCAAATTGGTGTACCTTCCATACCCCTTATCCAACTTTAATCAACTTGGGCTCGTTTGGAAGATAATTTCACACTAATTCGAAACCTGACTTCGTTTACGGTCGCTAGTTTATACCGCGTCTCATAGAGAGCGTCGTTTACCGACTATTCGAGTTTTTCGGATTTTCTCGAAAAATTCAAATGGAATGATACATGTGTGCATGATTGATCTTGAAGAGCATGAAAGTAGCTACATCTTGTTGCAAATTGCGATTCAATATCTTCATTTGTCTTCGAATTATTTGCAAATATCTATCTTCTATGAATGGTATCTTCAGTGAGGCCTTGCAACAAAGAATAATTAATTATTGTATCCTATTTTTTTGCGCTAGGAGTGAAAAAGTTTCTGAATTGTACAACCTCTTGTTACATTTGTGCATTGATTCAATATTTGCATGAATGCCACCTACCCACATTGAAAAAAGTAGTCTATCGTTAACTGAATTGCAACAACGAAATAGATATTTACGTAACCAGTTAGGAAACGAGTTATTTTGTGTGACATGTTGCGTAAAACGTTTTTTCTAATTTTGATGGAAAATTTTGCTTGAACAGGGATAAATACTAGTTCTACATAAGTTCTACCGATTATGTCCAAAATTTAGTAGGCAAGTTGACTTCGCCCGTCCATCAAACAATAATATTGTCAAAAATCAGAACGAAATTCACTAAATAGAGTCGTATCATATTATCATTAGTGAAAAATGGCTGTTTCAAGTTCAGATTTTCCAAGGGATACCGAGTGAACAGTACAAAATGCACTATTCTCTTCATCCATCCATATTTTTACTACGTATCTGGTGTTGACATGAACATTCTATCACCAGTTATGTAATATTTTACTTTACGCAACTGGTAAGACGTTTCGAAACTTAAAGTGTTAAATTACATGTCGATATTAGAAAAAATAACTTATTTCTTATGGGTGGTGGAAGAGGATGAATTTTTACTGTCTTCCGCAGTCGTCTACCCAATTGGGAAAATACTCCCCTACTAAAATGACTCCTATCAGGATAGTTAGATGCGTATACTCGTTCTGCCATAGCAACATTTACAAAACATCGAAAATAAACCGCCATCATGTCATCATAAGCATCCGCGATAGAAGACATTTTTAAATAAATTTCAAATACGCAAATTTCGAACCTGAATATAAAGGTTGCCTAGAAATTAGCAGAGTTGACATACAATTATTTCCACAGATATCACTATGGAAGGAAATGAATAATTAATTTGTTTGAAATATAACGCGATTTTTCAATGGAAAATAAATTATTTCCAAATAACTCGGAAGACAAATGAAGATATCGAATCGCGGTTTGCGCCAAAATGTAGCTATTCTCATGGTCTTCCATTTGATTTTTTCGAGAAAATACGAAAAAATCGAATAGTCGGTAAACGACGCCCTCTATAAGACGCGGTATGAACTACCGACCGTAAACAGAGTCAGCTTTTAAAATGTGGAATTATCTTTCAAACGAGCCCAAGTTGATTGAATTTGGATTAGGGGTATGGAAGATACACCAATTTGAAAAATATTTTGTTCACAAGCTTCCCCCACCATTATTATCGAAGATACGAAAAAAAGTCTGCAGACAAAAACAACGATCAATTGATGATCTATTCATTTCTGTTATCAAAAAAGTATCTCACTCAGCGATTTTCTGAGATAATTCGAATTTTCTCGTCGTATAGTAACTTCCGCCCACTACCGGTCATTTTAGAAACTTGAAAATATTTTGAATCGATTTCTCATCGCCAATTTTGTCGATAGATTTTTTCCCAAGCTGTAAGGTTTATGGTTTCTCTAATATCTGACACTTGCCGCTATCGCAACAATGCGACCGAAACCAGGAACACATACTTTGCTCATGTAAAGTATTAGTCCGCTAAAAGCTGAATCACCTAGAACAGGTCTATCTCACGCCTGCTGAGGTGGAAAATTTAACCGTCAGGAAAATTCTAGGCTTCATCAGAAGTCTAGGGTTAGAGGACCAAAACTAGATGAGGGTAATCACAAAAGATCTTCTGGGTCACAGTGATCGAGAGGTCTCTCAGCCTATACGACCCATCTACAATCTAATATTGATTTACAATAAAATGTTCCGAACGATGAAACATGAGGGGAATCAAAATTTGAAATAAAACCAGAAACATATGATTTCGGTAATAACATTCAATCTGGCACTTTGTCTGAAAGGAAGAGGACAAGAACAGACTCAAGTTTAGCTAACTTTGAGAAAAAAAGTATTGTCCTACTTTATATTGGGGTTAAAATGGTTGCCAAGCCAAAAGAAATGTTCATTATTTAACGTTGGAACCCTCAAGACAAGGACTAAAATGGGTATGACACATATTTTTCCTCTCTCAATACTTTTCCATTGTAATTCTGTAATTATACCTTTAAGAGCAAATCAATCAGTGTTGCCATAAAATGTTAAACAGCGTCCGCCATGAAATACGTAA